GGACCAAACCAACTATTCCCAGAATGAAAATTGTCATTGGGCCAAATGTAGAAGACTTATTGCAAAAATCTTTGTAGCAAATCTCACACTTATCGACGTCCATTAAAAAATCATTGGGATCTATTTCACAGTCGGCTCCTGGATTCAAACTTTGAAAATAGCAGGATCGTGCTATGTAAATGCCACCAAGTTCTGAAAAGAAAAGGGAAACAAATAAATATAAATGTGGATTTAAAAATTTCAAAAAAAAATCAATCCGATTATGGGGTTCGTTGCAAAAATATAAAAAAAAAATTCCACTTATGTGGATCCTTTAAAATATGAGTTTTTTTTTTTTAAAAATCTGCGATTAATAGATCCTTGAAAAAATATTTTATTATTTATTGAATTTTTTTCTATTTTTTCGATAATAGTTCTCCCACTCATTGGCACCCACTGTAAATTTGTGCCCTATGTTTACAAGACGGCAGTCTTATCTCCCAGCGGATATTAAAAAATATATAAAAGAAATAATTAATTACATATTTAAAGTTTACAGATTAACTTACTGCTCTCCAATGTATGTTTCATGCAACCAGTCGCCTCCAAATTTTGCCCTGGCAAATGACGTGGTGGCTTTACGGTGCTACAATCAATTTTCATATTATCTTCCGGCTCAAAACGTAAACCGCACTTTGAGTTTTCCCCTGACTTGCACTGATAGCAGTGGATGGCAAAAACTAAAAATTAAAAAAAAAAATTTATTAAAAAAATCATGTTCGGAATTTTCCATTATTTTGCTACCATTTGTCAGCAGGGTGGCGGCCATTATGGTCACAATAAACCAACATCTTATGGACGGCATTTGTTCGGAATAATATTTCACAAAACTTATAAAACAGCTGATTGTGGATTTTTTTTGTTGATTATTTGTGTTTCTTTTTCTTGGGAACTGAACTGAGGTACAGCAGTATTGTCTTCTTCAACCTTCTCTGACCGATTGTAGTCTGTTATGCTTGCTAATAATCGCTTTGTTTACTTCTTGTGGGGTTGGGGGAATTTCGAATTTTTCTGTTTTCTGTTTTGTGCTCTCTGTCTGTTTTGCTCGGTTATGTGGAAGAAGAAAAAAATTATTGCAAGCTTTTTTACGACATTGAGAGCGAACTACAGTTGTGTGTTAGGGTCTAAGAAATTCGAAAACTGTTTATTTGAAAGCGTTTAAAATGTAGAGCTTTTAAAAATATTCAAATGTAAACAAAGAGCTTAAATTTCAATTATTCAAAAAACTAATTTTTAAAAATCCACGCCTTGGATATACCCTCAAAAAACTAATTTTAAAAAATCCACGCCTTGGATATACCCTCAAAAAACTAATTTTAAAAAATCCACGCCTTGGATATGCCCTCAAAAAACTAATTTTAAAAAATCCACGCCTTGGATATACCCTCAAAAAACTAATTTTAAAAAATCCACGCCTTGGATATACCCTCAAAAAACTAATTTTAAAAAATCCACGCCTTGGATATACCCTCAAAAAACTAATTTTAAAAAATCCACGCCTTGGATATACCCTCAAAAAACTAATTTTAAAAAATCCACGCCTTGGATATACCCCCAAAAAACTAATTTTAAAAAATCCACGCCTTGGATATACCCTCAAAAAACTAATTTTAAAAAATCCACGCCTTGGATATACCCTCAAAAAACTAATTTTAAAAAATCCACGCCTTGGATATACCCTCAAAAAACTAATTTTAAAAAATCCACGCCTTGGATATACCCCCAAAAAACTAATTTTAAAAAATCCACGCCTTGGATATACCCTCAAAAAACTAATTTAAAAAAATCCACGCCTTGGATATACCCTCAAAAAACTAATTTTAAAAAATCCACGCTTTGGATATACCCCCAAAAAACTAATTTTAAAAAATCCACGCCTTGGATATACCCTCAAAAAACTAATTTTAAAAAATCCACGCCTTGGATATACCCTCAAAAAACTAATTTTAAAAAATCCACGCCTTGGATATACCCTCAAAAAACTAATTTTAAAAAATCCACGCCTTGGATATACCCTAAAAAAACTAATTTTAAAAAATCCACGCCTTGGATATACCCTCAAAAAACTAATTTTAAAAAATCCACGCCTTGGATATACCCTCAAAAAACTAATTTTAAAAAATCCACGCCTTGGATATACCCTCAAAAAACTAATTTTAAAAAATCCACGCCTTGGATATACCCTCAAAAAACTAATTTTAAAAAATCCACGCCTTGGATATACCCTCAAAAAACTAATTTTAAAAAATCCACGCCTTGGATATACCCTAAAAAAACTAATTTTAAAAAATCCACGCCTTGGATATACCCTAAAAAAACTAATTTTAAAAAATCCACGCCTTGGATATACCCTAAAAAAACTAATTTTAAAAAATCCACGCCTTAATGTAGGCACCGAATCCACGCCTATAAGTAGGCACCGAAAAACTAATTTAAAAAAATCCACGCCTAAAAATCCACGCACCGAAAAACTAATTTTAAAAAATCCACGCCTTGGATATACCCTCAAAAAACTAATTTTAAAAAATCCACGCCTTGGATATACCCTCAAAAAACTAATTTTAAAAAATCCACGCCTTGGATATACCCTCAAAAAACTATTTTTTAAAAATCCACGCCTTGGATATACCCTCAAAAAACTAATTTTAAAAAATCCACGCCTTGGATATACCCTCAAAAAACTAATTTTAAAAAATCCACGCCTTGGATATACCCTCAAAAAACTAATTTTAAAAAATCCACGCCTTGGATATACCCTCAAAAAACTAATTTTAAAAAATCCACGCCTTGGATATACCCTCAAAAAACTAATTTTAAAAAATCCACGCCTTGGATATACCCTCAAAAAACTAATTTTAAAAAATCCACGCCTTGGATATACCCTCAAAAAACTAATTTTAAAAAATCCACGCCTGGGATATACCCTCAATATGTGGAGACCTCAAAAAACTAATTTTAAAAAATCACCGCCTTGAATATATCCTCAATATGTGGAGGCCACAAAAAAAATATTTTCAAAAAAATGCACATTCCATTTTTTTAATTCTGAAATTATTTCTTCGCCAACATATACTACCTTTATTATATTTTTATAATTTATTTTTTATCTTTTACAAAATATTTAAAAAATTAAATACAATAAAAACAATTGATATTTTACGATAATAGACGAGCCAACCCGAAGAAGAAAACGAGACCAATAACAAATGGAGTCATAGTTGGTGAACTGTTGCATAGATTATCCTTGCAAACTTCACAGGACAATTGTCTGCTGTTAAAATTGGTTGGATCTGGTTTGCAGCCAGTTTCGGTGCGGTAAATATCTCCAAAATAGCAGGAACGCATAATGTGTTTACCACCATTTGCAACTGTAAATAGAAAGAAATAGAAAATTACAAAAAAATAAATAAATAATTGTTATAGTATAAAAATTTAAAATCTCATTGAATGCGGCAGAAAGAAATATTTATCTAAAAAATCCACGCCTATGGTGACCTTTGAAAAAAGTCTTCTTTAAAAAATCCACGCCTATGGTGACCCTTGAAAAAAATATTCTTTAAAAAATCCACGCCTGTCTGTGGCCCTTGAAAAAAATATTCTTAAAAAATCCACGCCTATGGTGACCCTTGAAAAAAATATTCTTTAAAAAATCCACGCCTGTCTGTGGCCCTTGAAAAAAATATTCTTAAAAAATCCACGCCTATGGTGACCCTTGAAAAAAATTCTTTAAAAAATCCACGCCTATGGTGACCCTTGAAAAAAATTCTTTAAAAAATCCACGCTTATGGGGACCCTTGAAAAAAATTCTTAAAAAAATCTACGCTTATGGTGACCCTTGAAAAAAATTCTTTAAAAAATCCACGCCTGTTTGTGACCCTTGAAAAAAAATTCTTTAAAAAATCCACGCCTGTCTGTGACCCTTGAAAAAAGTCTTCTTTAAAAAATCCGCGCCTATTGTGACCCCTGAAAAAATATTCATTAAAAAATCCACGCCTTATGTGGATCCTTGAAAAAATATTCTTTAAAAAATCCAAGCCTATGGTGACCCTTGAAAAAAATATTCGTTAAAATAAACCACGCCTTAGATAGGGAAAATATTATTTAAAAATCTAGGCTTGTATAGTTTTTTATTCATTTGAGCCACTGTAGCCTGCATATTTTGCATTTAGACAAAAATATTTCTGTTTTCCAAAAAGACCGGTTAGAAGTGATTTTGCATAATGGCAATTTTCAATGAATATCGGCGTTCTTGTGTGTGTGCTCTTTTGTAAATTAACAACATCCAACGCGACTTTTGGGAACTGCGTTGTAGAATATTTTTTCAACTCTACTTTAAAATTACTCTCAATTAAACAATTTTTGTTAATAACATTCCAAATTTCGCTCTCACGTGCACACATAAAATTTTCTATTTAAAAAAAAAATTACTACGTCGTAACAAAAGTCCCCTCAGTCATGTAAAGAATTCCGCTTAACAGCTTAATCTCAATGAAATCCCTTACAATTTCGAAAAGGAAAAACCCCACCCACCAGACTTGGTGTATGTGATATTAGTTGCCTACTTGAAAATACGCATCGAACACACAACAACAAACAGAACAACAACTACAAAATATAAACAAATCTGACATCATCCCGCACAGCAGCTGACAGCGGTAATTGAATCAGACAGTGGGTTGCGAAGGAAAAGTATTTTTCAGACAACATTTATGGGGTCTAAAAAACAGGTGGTAAAATATATAGCTCCCAGTCCTATTTTTGGTATCTGGCTTTTCCAACTCATGAGGTTGAAGTTTGGCAAATTGGAATCTAAGAGGATATATTTCTGACAGTGGCCCCGCCACACGTTCAATATTATTTTAGAAATTTTCAAGATCCGAGTCAAAATTTCCAATCAATGCGGATTATTAGTGCTTTAAATATATGTTGGTAGGGAATATCTAATACATATCCATATTTTGACATAGGACCTAGAGTATAAGAGACCTCTAAGTCTATAAAATTGATCTAGAGATCTCTTAAAATATTTACAACGATCCGCCCCATTTTCGATATGTTTAAAGTCCTTGGGGAATTTTTCAACCAAGGTGTCAATAATTGGGAATTACGTTGACTCAGAGGATAATACATACTATCAGTGTGTTTGGAATTTCGAATCCATTCCTCATTTTAGAGGTTCTAAAAACTTCGGCTCTTAACAACATTCTTATTTGTTTTTTTTTTTTTTTTAATTTGAGTCATAATTTTTTTAAACCAGCTGTCTTCTAGATTGCACTGAGCCAAAGCCGAAGCACATATGCATACATATATACTGCACTCTATGACGGGTAGTATGTATGTTTTGAATATATATTTTTTTTTTGATAAAATTTAAATAGAAATACCACAATGATTATTAATATTCCACATGCTAGTTGAAGTGCCTACATTCACCCTATTACTAGTAATGCTTTTTTTAAACAATACTAAGGCTATCCAACAACTCCTCTCCCTTTTTTCGATAGTTTCAAAATTTGAGACGAATTTACACTCCGATGTGTCAGTAATTTTGTATTCCGGGTCTCCGCAGGTTGAAAAACATCTATGAAGAAGATTTTCGAGGTAGACCCATCTTTTGACGTATGCCTCTCTTAAGAAGGAGACTGCAAATTTTACGTATTTTGAATATTTGCAGGATGTTCGGATTTTTTTTTCCAAATATTTTTTCAAGAGTCAACCAAGGCGTGGATTTTTTAAAGAATATTTATTCATGGGTCAACCAAGACTTGGATTTTTTTGAAGAATATTTTTTCAAGGGTCAACCAAGGCGTGGATTTTTTTGAAGAATATTTTTTCGAGGGTCAACCAAGGCGTTGATTTTCCCAGATGTCTTCCCAGATTTTTTTTAATACGGGTCAGTACACACGTAGCTTTATAAAAAAAAATATATTTATGAGGGTCTTAAAACTGGCTTGGATTTTTCATATAAAGGGACTTAAAATATATGTTGTATGCCTCAAAATAACCGTGAAACATCTATGAAGACGATTTTCGAGATAGACCCATCTTTTGACGTATGCCTCTCTTAAGAAGGAGATGGCAAATTTTACGTATTTTGAATATTTGCAGGATGTTCGGATTTTTTTCCAAATATTTCTTCAAGAGTCAACCAAGGCGTGGATTTTTTAAAGAATATTTATTCATGGGTCAACCAAGGCGTGGATTTTTTAAAGAATATTTATTCATGGGTCAACCAAGACTTGGATTTTTTAAAGAATATTTATTCATGGGTCAACCAAGACTTGGATTTTTTAAAGAATATTTATTCATGGGTCATCCAAGACTTGGATTTTTTAAAGAATTTTTTTCAAGGGTCAACCAAGGCGTGGATTTTTTTTAAGGAATATTTTTTCGAGGGTCAACTAAGGCTGGATTTTTTTGAAGAATATTTTTTCAAGGGTCAACCAAGGCGAGGATTTTTTTAAAGAATATTTTTCAAGGGTCAACCAAGGCGTTGATTTTCCCAGATGTCTTCCCAAATTTTTTTTTTAATACGGGTCAGTACACACGTAACTTTATAAAAAAAATATTTTTGAGGGTCTTAAAACTGGCTTGGATTTTTCATATAAATGGACTTAAAATATATGTTGAATGCCTCAAAATAACCGTGAATTTATTTATGATTAAGGTCTCAACATTTTACTCCACTTTTTAAAAATTATTTTGAAGGGGCAAAAAATAGCCGTGTATTTTCAGAGTATTTTTGAGGATCTGCGAATGGTCGGGAACGAATGTAATTTTGAGGATGTCATAATAGCCCTAGTTTTTTTTAAGAATTATTTTTGAGGGAATTTGGATTTTTCAATACATATTTTTGGGGCCCCTAGAATAGTCTTGATTTTTTATTAATAATTATTTTTATATGACTGAATATTTTAAGAATTATTTTTGAAGGTCTCAGAAAATCCAAGTATTTATTTTTTGAAAGACTCTAAACAGTCATCCTTGTTTTAAAAATTATTTTGGATGGCATCAAAATAGCGTGGATTATTTAAATAAATATTTTTGAGGCCGCAAAGTAGTCTTGCGGACCTAAATTTTTTTTAAAAACTATTGAAGTACTCTAAAAAGCCATGTTTTTTTAAATTATTTCTGAGGTCCTCAAATTACCCCTAAATGTTTAAGGATTATATTTGATGCCTTTGATTTGTAGGACCCTTAATAAAAATAAAAATTATAATTATGCGCATTAAAATATCCTCGGTTTTTTTTTAAATTTTTGTAAGGTTTTTTATGGCCCCAAAATAGTCCAGGATTTATAAAGAATAATTTTTTATGGCTTCGAAATTAGCCAGGGATAATTTTTGAGGGTCTCCAAAAACGACAAGGATTTTTACAAATTATTTTTGATAGCCTCAACATTGCCCTGTATTTACTAATCATTATTTTTGGCTGCCTCAATATAGCCCTTATTTTTTAGGAATTTGAGAGGCGTAACATAGACGTAGATTTCTTTTGTAGAATTATTTTTGAGGTCTGCATTATAAGCGTGGATATTTAAGAATTCGTATTGCAATAAAAAAAAAACTTACATATTATTGAGACCCTCAAAATAGCTCTGGATTTTGTAATAATAGTCAAAATAGTCGAGGAATTTTTATTATTATTATTTAGGGCATTTTTAAAAACCTCAAACCGTTCGATTTGTTATGAGTTTTTTAGTCTGAGTTATTTCTTGCCACATCTACATTTTCCCGCAAAACGATTGTCTACTATTTTGTCTATTAAAAATTCAAATCAATAATTAGTTCTCAAGTAGTTCCTCTTTCAAGTGGGCACTTTTCCAAAATAAAACTTACACACTCAATCATACATATATATAAGCACCCGAAAATATTGCCCAATATTATAACAGCCGGTATAATAATTAATAACAAAAAAAACCAAAAGCACTTCAAATACACACACACACACACAGACCTAATGAAAAAAACAACAAATGACGCAAACTTACCCCATTCCATTGTTTGTTTCATGCAACCGGTTGCATTAACGCTCCGTCCGTTGAACAGTGGCAACAGGTAGAATGGTGCATTGACACGATTGCAATCAGTTTTCAAACTATCATCCGATTCGAAATGTTCACCACATTTTGGATTTTGCAGCGAGTTGCATTGATAACAGTGGAGAGCAAGGGCTATCGAATAAAGTATAAGAACATTTGTAATAAATTAAAAACCAAATAAAAAATTTGAAATTAGAGTTACTATGAACCTACCAGAGCTGGCCAATGCTAACAAGACACCAAAGACCAAAACGAATTTTGTGGCAGACATTATTAATTTTTTTATTAAATTTTATTTATTTTTTTTTTCAAAAAATTCAGCAGCTTTTTGTATTTATATTTCCAGAGACACCCACCACCCGACGATGTGACCACTTTAAGATATTCAAATCGAATATCTTGTTATGGACCATGTAGAGAACAGAATTGTCTTATTTTTGTAGAATAACGTTATATTTTTTGTTTATGTGAGAGCAAAGTATCTCAGAGATCTCTCTTTTCTGAACACTTCTCCATTGAGTATGGATCGATTTGTTTGGGGACTGCGTGTACACATTGTTCAATGGCAAGAGAGTGTAACAAGAATGTTTAAAATACATTAGGATGGATCGAACACAATTTTTAAGGGAATATAAATAAAATAACACCCATATGGGATCTCCACCTCATGGAGGAGGGTATAAAAAGTCCGGGCCGACGGATTTAACGACTTTATTACTTAATTTTTTGGAATTTTTTGAACCACTATTTTATTTATATTCCCTTAAAAAAATGTGTTCGATCCATCGTAATGTATTTTCATTCTAGACTTAATTTAGTACGCTGTGCCAAATTTCGTGCAAATCGAAAGATATATAGGGACTTTGGTACAATATTTACCTTAAATCGGACGAAGATATATATGGGAGCTATATCTAAATCTGAACCGATTCTCACAAAACTTAGCACACATCATTCCAAATCTTATTCATTACGCTGTGCCAAATTTCGCGCAAATCAAAAGATTTCCAGGGACTTTAGTAGACTATTTACCTAAAATCGGGCGAAGCTATATATGGGAGCTATATCTAAATCTGAACCGATTTTCACGAAACTTTTCACACATCATTCTAGACAAAATACAGTACGCTATGCCAAAATGCATGCGAATCAAAAGATTTCCAGGGACTTTAGTGGACTATTTATCTAAAATCGGGCGAAGCTATATATGGGAGCTATATCTAAATCTGAACCGATTTTCCCGAAACTTTGCACACATCATTCTAGACTTAATTTAGTACGCTGTGCCAAATTTCGTGCAAATCGAAAGATATATAGGGACTTTGGTACACCATTTACCTTAAATCGGACCAAGATATATATGTGCAAAATTTCGTGCAAATCGAAGGATATATAGTGACTTTGGTGCATATATGGCCAGGAGAAAACAAAATACCACTCCAAAGTCCTAAGTTTGGAAAAATTTACTAAGTACTTGGAAAATAAAGAAAATATGGGCTGATCTTCGACTGGGGGTCTATGTAGAATCATAAACTTATATTGAAATCGTTTTGTGAAGAAATTGGTTACCTAGCAAGGTCCCCCCTTTTAACATTGCAGCACCTCCAATTATACCGAATATGGAGGTTTGAGCCTTAATATGGAGGTTTTATCTAAAGATCAACCGATAATTTTTGGTAGCACAATTTGATAACCATTGAGAACTCAAAATATCGAATTAGAGGCATATCGGTTATATTTCCTGATAATCTTCCTAGCATTAAATAATATGTTTCTCAAATCTAAATGGCGCCCAATTTGGGGTCTTTATTAATAATTAGAAAATATCAAAAAATGCAAAGATTGAAAAACGTGCCAAAATTCCAATAATTAAAGGTACCATTATATGAGGATTACCCTTAAAAATGGACCCATATTATTCATTGTTGTAGGATAATTTGACACCCACATAGAACTCAAAATATCAAATTAGAGGCAATTTGGTTGAAAAAATCTGCTCAACATCCCCAAAATACCGAATATTTTAGGTTACCCTTATATTGGAACTTCCTTCAAAATGTGCTCTATTTTTATAAATATTGGCAGGACGATTTGATATCCACTTAGAACCCAAAATAAAAAAATTAGAGGCAATTCCGTTGAATAACCTGCCCAAAATCTCCAAAATATAAAAAAATCGGAGGTACCGATACATGAGGGCAATACCAAAATGTGGACCTATATTTATAATTTTTGGTAGGAAGATTTCTCATTCCCTGAGAACCCAAAATATCGAATTTGGGTTCTCAGGGTTGAAAGATCTGCTCAAGAACCCCAAACTACCGAATATTTGAGGTTACCCTTATATGGGGACTCCCTTCAAACTTGAGCATATATTTATAATTTTTGGAAGGACGATTTGATATCCATTGAGAACCCAAAATATAAAATTGGAGGCAATTCGGTTTAATACCGTGGCCAAACATCCCCAAAATATACAAAAATCGGAGGTACCGTTACATGAGAACAATACCAAAATGTCGACCAATAATGATAATTTTTGGTAGGAAGATTTGTCATTCCCTGAGAACCCAAAATATCGAATTTGGGTTCTCAGGGTTGAAAGATCTGCTCAAAAAACCCAAAATACCGAATATTTGAGGTTACCCTTTGAACTCCCTTCAAACTTGAGCATATATTTATAATTTTTGGAAGGACGATTTGATATCCATTGAGAACCCAAAATATGAAATTAGAGGCAATTCGATTGAATAACGTGGCCACAAATTCCCAAAATATACAAAAATCGGAGGTTCCGTTACATGAGGACAATACCAAAATGTCGACCAATATTGATTGATTGATATTGATTTTTAGTATGAAGATTTGTCATTCCCTGAGAAACCAAAATATCAAATTAGAGGCAATTTGGTTGAAAAATGTGCTCAAGATCCCGAAATTACCGAATAATTGAGGGTACCATTATATGGCAGCTAGCCTCAAACGTGGGCCTAAATTTATAATTTTTGGTAGGACAATTTGATATCCACTGAGAACCCAAAATTAAAGCGAATTCTTTTGAAAGGCGTGCTCAAAATCCCAAAAAAATGTACCGAAATCCGAGGTACCGTTATATGGGTGCTACCCTAAAAAGTGTATCAAAATACTAAATTTCAGCCAAATTGGTTGAAAAGAGTGCCCAAAATCGCCCAAAACACCGAATAATTAAGGGTACCTTTATATGGGAGCCATTCCGAATCTTGGGTCTATATTAATAATTTTTGGTAGCGAGATTATCTGCCCAATGACAATCTAAAATGCAAAAAATTTAACCAATTCGGTTGAAAAACGATCTCAAAATCCCCAAAATGCAGAATAATAGTGGGTATCGCTATATTTGAATAGCCCTGGATTTCGTACGAATTATTTTCGAGGGTCTCAGAAAAACCAAAGATTTTTAAAAATTATTTTTGAGAGCCTCAAAATAACCGTGAGTTTTTTAAGATTTATTTCTAAGGGTCTCAGAATAGCCGTGGATTTTTAAGTTTAAAGCATTTTTGGTTTTTTTAGATTCGGGTTCCTCAAAAATATCCCTTGAATTTTAAGTCAGTTTTTTAATTGTTAGAGTGTCCTTGCAATTTTAGCCATTATTTGTTGAGTCCTCAGAATAGCCAAAGATTTTTTTGAAAATTATTTTTGAGTGCTTCAAAATAGAGATTCTGAAAGCAGCCGTGAATTTTTTGGGAACAATGTTTGAGAATAGCCGTAGAAGCCTTGAATGCTTCAAATGAGCCGTGCATTTTTAGGAATTAATTTTAGGGTCCCCAAAATTTTTTTAGAACTTTTTTGAATTGGATTTTATTTATGGGGCCTCCAAATAGCCAGACATTTTTTAATTACTTTTTAAGGCCCTCAGAATAGCAGTAGATTGTTTAGTGTTTTAGGAATTATTTTTAGGGTCCTAATAACCCAGGATACATAAGTCCCCAAAATAATCAAGGGTTTTAAAAGAATTCATAGGGCATTTGGATGCTTCAAAAAAAGATGTGTTTTTATTTATGGGGTCCTCAGATTAGCCAAGGATTTTTCTGAAAAATATTCTGATGAAGATTCTCAAAGTAGCCGTGGACTTTTTGGGAACCATGTTTGGGGTCGGAGAATTAAAACAGGGCCTAACATAATCTTGACGGTCTTAAAATAGATCTGGATTTTTTAAGAATTATTATTGAGGACCTCAAAAAAGCCCTGGATTTTTAAGGCTTCAAAATAGTCACGCATATTTGAAAACTATTTTGAATAGTCGTGGGTTTTCAGGGATTATTTTTGGGGTCCTCAGAATGGCCGTGTATATTTTTAAGATTTGTTTTGGGAGTCTAAGAAAAGCCACAGAATTGTTAGAATTATTCTTGAAAATCAGAAAGCTATATGGTTGAAAATCGTGCTCAAAATTCCCTAAATATACCAACTTCGGATAGTACAATTATTTGGGTCCTATAAAAAAATATTCATGTTTTTTTTTTTTGGTAAGACGATTTGTTACCATCCGTTCTAAAGTATCAGGTCTCTGTATACTTTATATTATAGTAATTTCTAACAATTAGCTTAATTCGTAAATGGCGCCCAACACGGGGACTTGGTAATAGATTTTAGTGTCAGTAAACTTTTAATAGTTTTTCAATAATTTCTGTTTTATCTGATCTCTTTGGATGTACCTCGTTTTGGTAATTATTTTTCAAGTGGCGCCCAACTCGAGGACTTGATGTCTGACCCTCTAACTACCAAATATTGTGGGCTGCCATAAAACAACATTTCAACATTTTCGTTAATATGCCACGAGAACCTAAAATACCAAATTTCAAGTAATCTTCCTTACATTAACTATTTTTTTTCTCAAATCTAAATGGCGCCCAACTTGGGGGCTTAGAAAAGCGTGTCCGCTGGAAAATATTTTAAAAAAATCTTATTAAAATCCTTCAAGGTATCGGATCTCAGTTTACATTATTTTATAGTACTTTCTAATAGCTTGGAGACCATATTTTGTAAATGGCGACCAACTCGGGGACCGGACAAACGATTTAAATGTTTTTAAACTTTTAGTGTTTTTATAAATTCTTCTGATTTATCAGATCTCATAGGGGGTACTTAATTTGGTAATTGTTTTTCAAGTGGCGCCCAAATCGGGGACTTTAATGATTTTTAGGAGTATTTTTATCGGTTTTTACGGTTAAGAACACATTTTTTAGAAAATCCATGCCTATGGTCCTGTTTTAGTGTCTGAAAAAAGTTTTTTTT